GCCTTTAATGAAGTTGGACACAGGTTTTATGCTTGCAAAAAAACTCGGAAAGGAAACGTCAGATCCAAAAGTCGCATACGAGTTTTTAAAAACAGTTGATGCAAAAACGCTTGTTAAAAATTCAATATGGGTAATTTTTACTGAATCAGTAAATATCTCAATTTTTTATAATATAGATTATGCCAGGTCTCGTCCGGATAGATATATATGTAGTCACATTTTGACATATATCCATTCGAACAAGACAAGAGCATAATTGAAGTCTGAACTTCAAGTAAGTTCAACTATTCATTTATATATATTTCATATTCGTATTTTGTTAAGAAAGATGTAATATTTGGTATCTTTTTATGCACTTGGTATATATTTTTTCTTCTTTTAAAAAAGTTTTTTTACGAATTTTAACATATGAATAACATATTTTTTATTTATAATATCATCAGAAGGATTTTATTGAACCCTTCACGATCACTCTGGACAACAAGTCATCGAATCCAGTTTTTCCTGAACATCCAAAGAAATATGTAAACCGCGGAATTCAAATGCCCTTCCTTTTAGGATTTAATCGTAATGAAGGAATATTTTTTTATACGTAGCAACTTTTTCGGAGGTAATAAAGAAGTACATTTTATCGTGCGCGCACATACTGTTAATAAATATATTCTTAATTATTTTGCTTTTATCTCTTTTATATGACTTTTTTCTACAATGTAACTTGTTAAGAATAATACAATTTTGATACTTAACAAATACGCTGTCAACATTTTGTAAAAAGATTTCCATAATACTTTTAACGTTTATAATATTAAAAATAAATTTGTTTACTGCAATTTTTAAGTACACGTATAAGAATTATAATTATTAAATAATTCATTAAATCCTTAAACAAATATATGTTTTAACATATTAAATAATTACATTGTTCTAAAATAACTTTATCATAGGTTGTGTGTACGTTCATCAACATTTAAATTTATGAAATAAAATATACAAATATGTATATTATTTATTTGTATTTAATAATAATATACATATATATTTTGTACATATCTCTCTTAAATTTTTATATTAAAATAAAAATTTTATTTTAATATAAAAATATATTATTTTTGAGATAGATATTTTTCATGAATTTATGAAGTCAATTATTTCTTATCAAAAATACTCATACTGAAATATTATTCGTTCGATATGCAATATCCCAAAAGTGATCAATATAATCATATTTTTAAAATTGTTTCAGATATAAGCGACGAAGATCTACAGAAAATAAATGATTTTAAAAAGGGAATATTATTAAATATATTATCCGAGTTATGAAATAGGAAATACTCGAGGAAATGCGACATCACTATTTTGGAAATGAAGAAATAGCAGAAAAAACTTTGACAAATTATTCAGATTTCTTAGGAGATGCATATTTCATACGCGGCATAAGAGATGTAATTCAATCGCAAAAGTATTCTGGTCATTTTAAATCGACGTATTTATATCATTTCAATTATGAAAGCGAAACATCCCTTTTTAGAACAGTATTAGACATAGGACTTCCAGATATATTGTTGCTAGTTACAACCACATAATATATCTTACATCAAAAAGCACAAATACATTTTATCAATTAACGATGCTATTATTTCTGAAATTGTGAGCCCAATCATTATATTCAACTGTATTATTATAATAATTGTGCATAAAAGTAATGATAAAAATATCTTATGTTATAAAAAAATTAATGTTAAAAAAATTAACATATAAAAATATTTAGAGAACTGAAGAATTTAAAAGAAATGTAAATTTGAAAATGATGAAACTGCATTTTTAAAAATAATTTACAAATATAATAATATTTTACAGGAGTAAGCCATACAGAGGATTTAGGTTACCTATTTTTCCCAGAAGCTGCAAAATCATTTAATCTTACGTGTCCCAAACCAGGTTCAAATGATTACAAAATTGTAAATTACTTTGTGCAAATGTGAACAGATTTTGCTAAAACAGGGTACAAGAATATTTTTCCTTATTTTATACAAATTATTTTATACAAATTCTACAAACGTATATTAATTCTAACTTCAAACACATTAATTCAAACTGATTTTTAGAAATCCAATGCCGACTATAAATTTATGGTTACCATTAACTGGTCGCAAAACAAAAATTACAATGGTCTAAATATTGATTTAAATCTAAAAATGGAAACCTTCCGTTATGGAAAGGAACGCTGGGATTGGGAAATTGTTTAAAAAATGTTCTAACATTATCTGATGTAATCTTATCTATTAAAACTAAATTTTTTTTAGCATTTTTTGTTTTTTGTTGAAAAACGCGTTTAAAATAAATATTTCTTAACTTTCAAAAATATTTTTTTTCATTCCAAAACTACTTTTCCATAGAGATGGTACGTAATAAAATTATGAAAAAAATTATTATATTCATGTTTTAATATTTATCTCAGATTGAGATATTTATCAATATAAATATCTTATAAAGTGCATATATTAAATTTATTTCTTTTATAAATATATTTCTTTAAATATATTATATATAAAAATAATATAATTAGTATAATAGTAGAGGCGTTTAGGCAATTAATTAAGCAATGCATACTTAAAAATATATTTACAGATAAATCATTTTTTAAATTAATTAAAAATTTATTAGTAAGTTTTTTATCATTATCATTACGTATTACGTAAGTTATTATATACAGAGTGTGAGTATGTGCGTCTTATTCTTTAATGAGAACAGCAGTATATCTTATAAATTTATCATCATATAAAAATGTTTTAGATAAATTTGTATTATTTGAAGAAAGACAAATAATGTAAAATCAATTTTCAAAAACATTAATTTTTTTAAGATTATATAAAGATCATTTTTTTTTAAGAATTATTATGATTTTTTACATAATATATTCTTTTAGTAATTCTATATATAAAAGTATTAAAGTTATCAAAAAATCAATAATTTACAAGATATATTCTTTATTCTGGCATATTTTGACATGAAATGTCAAAAATATCTCATAATTATACATTTTTTTATGTACTTTAATAGTTTTAGACATAGAATAATAAGATAAATTATTATAAGATATATTATAGAATAATAAGATCAATTATAAAAAAAATAAATAGTTGCTTTGAAAAAAGGCATTTATACATGGAGAAAATTTTATATTAAATTTTAATATAATTTTAAATTATATTATACTTTATTATGTCTTATTTTTTATGGACATTATAACATGATTTCGACATAACTTTTACTATAGTAATACTAATTTTTATCACATAAATAAAGGAATTTTTGTTAAAAGCCAATGCTTAAGCCATATTCTAATATGAAAATAGTTAATTTTACTATGGTATGCAAACAAAATTTGCTTAGATATATTTATTAGGTATATATTTTTCTACTTATCTTTATAGTACTAACTTTTATTCAACAAGTTTTTGATTTTGTAATAAAAAATTTTTTACTAGGAAAAATTATGTTGCATTATTGTTTTTAAAAAAATAGCTATAGTTTTTAAACTTATAATTGTCATAATCCGCTTCTAAAACATTATAATAATTTTAAATATAATTTTCTCCGTGTAATAATTGCACATTGCATAATTTTTTTTAAAAAGCAACTATATACATGTTTTGTTTACATCAATTGATTTATCTCATTAGTTGTGCACAAAAGTATTAACCATCCGTCGGTAACGTGGAATTTTAACTCTAATTGCATCAGCTATAAGGATTTTCAAGCAACAGAATAAAGAAATGTTAATTACGTGAATGTAAAGGAAGCAAACTTATTATTAAAATGCAAATGTTTTAATTATAGAAAATATGATATTGACAATTTAAATTAAAATAGATACCCGTTTGATGTAAATTGAATTAGATTAAATAGAAATACTGATATAACCCGATAAAATTAATAGGATCGAAACGTACAGTTTTAATTTTAATTGTTTTTATTTCGCAGATATGTTTAACATAAATAAGAGTGGTATGCTCATTATTACTATTTATATTAAAGCCTATTGTTTGTTTCACGTAACAGAATAAATTCTTTTAGTGTTTCTTTTTAGTGTTTCTTTTCTTTTTAGTGTTTTCGTTTTAGTGTTTCTTTTAGTGTTTCTTTTAGTGAATATACATAAAGATAAAGATTTGAAAAAATTGATATACTTGTAAAAGTTTTAACAATAAATTTGTATCGTAGATGTCGGATTTTA